CCTCCCCTCCCCCTGTTTGAATTTCATCCTGGGGAGAACCCTGTATGTGTACATAAATATTCACTTGTTCGAATTATAACTCTGCCCTTTGTCCTTACCTACTCCTGCCAGACATATCTCGTGAAATCCTGCAGGAAATGTTCTCTAGCGATTTAGCGATCAGGTTTTCCTACCTGCTCTCTTAGTCTTCGTCTTATTCATGTTGTTTGTGCACAGCGCGGGCTAGATACAATAATGTAACCCAAACCCAAGAGGATAGGGGAGTAAGGGGACCCCTATCCTCTTGGGTTTGGGTTACATTATTGTATCTAAGCGCGGGCGTGCGGTGTACTTGTGTATTGCAGATGAGCATTTGACCGGCATTTACAGGTGATTATAGGCGAAATAGAGTAGGAAACACTAAGACTTTGGCAGTAAATACATTTCGTGTTTATTTACCTTTTTTTTTATTGAGACGTTCCAAGTCAAGTGCCTGTGCCCAAGGCGTTATTTAGAAATCTGCCGCCATATTTGCCTCGGTAAGTATGAAAGCGAATGGACTGCCCTACCTCCAGCCTCGTAAATTAGAGATACGGCTGCCGTACCTCCAGACACTGCCTTAAATATATTATTAATATTAGTTATTAGTATTAGTATTACGAGTAATACGACCGTTTCTTTGACCGCAGTGGCTACGGGTACGGTAGCCGTCGGTCGTTGAAGCCCCTTTTTAGCGTTAGGGTTAGGGTTAGGGTTAGGATTAGGGTTAGGTTTAGGTTTAGGGTTATGGTTAGGTTTAGGGTTAGGGTTAGGGTTCTAGCTCATCTAAACTCTCAAATCGTGAATATATTTCCCAAGGCGTTATTTCGAAATCTGGCGCCACCGCCGCCATCTTTGTCTCGTTAAGTATGAAAGCGAATGGACTCCCGTACCCGGGCCGTAGCCTCGAGACATTAAGATACGGCTACCGTACCCGTAGCCACTGCCTTCTTCGACTCGAGTCGAGGGCTGAGCACACAAAAAGACTAACCCAAAGCAAAGGCAAAGTACAATTACTCGGTGTAACGGGTAAGTCGTAAGTTATACAATACCAATTGAGTATATTTTTTATTAACGATAATTTTGTAAGTGATAATTTAGTACGATTACTTACCAAAACTTTTAATGATCACAAAACTCGTACTATAAAAACCAGCAGACGTTGACAATTTTCAAAGTAGGCGCGAACAAGTGAACATCTAATGCAAATTAAAGTTAACATTCTATTCGGAACTTAGCTGTTACGTTTAAAAACATAGAAATATATCTAGTCAGACTAACTATCAGTCGGTTAACTATTTTAATTATTATAGTTATTGTTTATTAATTATTTTATTAATTGATTATTATTTATGAATAAGTTTATTTGAAAGTTTTACAGCGTCTACACATCAATTCAATTGTCGGCTTAGTTCAGTACAGTATGTGTCTGGCTACTCGTGCGCCGACATCAAATCGTAACCTTCTTCTATTCGTAGTGCGCAATATTAGAAGCAAGTGTCATCATCAGCCAGAAGAAGGTCTTCAATTGCGTTATTCCTAGCACTACTAGTACTAGTCGAGTCGAATTAATTTTACCTGCGAAAATTACGTTTTAAGTAGTATATACTATAGTATTTATTTAGTTATTAGTAGTTTAGTTTAGTACTAGTACTAGTAGTAGTAGTAGGAATGCAATTGCCATGGCAATCCTAGCTTTTACTTTTATGCCAATGCCAATTAATGCTTTTACTTTTTAGTTTTATGCAATGTTAGCTCTAGACTAGTCCGAGATTCCTCTGACCAATGCCCACACCGACAATTTTGGTGGTTTTGGTGTGGGTTAGGTGGCATACCCACACCAAAATCGTCGGTGTGGGCATTGGTCAGAGGAATCTCGGACTATGCTAGCTCTAGGCCCTTGGAAGTTGGGTGTCACTTTCCCCCGGGCGTAGATGGAGGGTCACGTGATGTGGCTGCACTTGTGTTAGGATTAAGGCCAATACACACTGCAGCGACAGCGACCGACCGTAGCGACAAACGACAAAGTCGCGGCGACTGGCGCAAACACACTGCAGCGACAGCGACTGACGTTAGGTCAAAGTTCACCCAGCACTCGCCACAGTGGTACACATCATCACATGAACAAACGGCAAAAACTCATGCTGCTGCTTTCAAATAACAAACTCTCAAACTGCAAAAACTCTCTAGGTATAAGGATAAGATAATAAAGTAAAACTATCAGTGTTTATAAAGTAAAACTGCAGCAAACTTTCATGTACATGTACTGTACATACTGTGTCTAGCTTGCCTGAGCTTGCCACAGCTTGCACGCTTTGGTTAGACTGGTTCGCAGCCCCATTGTTTGTGACATGCGGTGCGAGTTTAGCGCCGGAGACCAGTCTATGTCTTGGCTAGCATTATGGGTTATTTATGACGTAATTGTTATGTCACGTGCCGATGGAAACGGCTGCGATTGGCTATTTGTAAAGTGTCGCTCGCGATTGTCACTGGAGAATAGAAACGTTCCTAAATATTTTTTGTCGTCAAGGTTGTCGCCGGTCGTTGTCGTGTGTGTGTGCAATGGCTCATAGGAAACTAGATAGAGGGCACTCACGGAGTGCATACCTCCGCCAGCGACATACGCCATACGCCCCATGTAACATGTATGTGTTACGAGCTGGCTCGCCGCTCGCTGCTGGCTGCTGCTGACTGCTGCCGACTGACTGGCCTGCTGCTGACTCGATGGGCTAATATCGATTGCGCGAACGGACTAACACACGAACACACTACACGAGAGCGATCACATAACCTCCTCCACTTCGTGGGCGGAGGTAACAATAGTTCTATCAATTTTCTTGATCAAGTGGTTTGCTCGTTCACGCCGCGTCGGTCGCTGGGCTGGCAGTGTGTCTTGGCCTTTAGGTACGGTTAGAGTCAGGGGGGGTTAGAGAAATGAAGGCCATGTCTAGCCAGCGGACAAGTATGACTGTGGAATCTTTCTGGTGGAAGATTTGGACTTTGAAGCCGGTACGAGTGACTATGCTGCCAGCGTTAACGCGGCACCTCCATCTCGCTCCTGGGGAAAGTGACACCCCTGTTCCTGCGGCTCTGCAGAGGCGAAAGGATATAGTTCTAACTTCTAGGGCTATTGCAATGCTAGCTCTAGTACTATAGCCCGCGTACTAGTAACATGTCCGCAGGGCTAGCGCTCTAGGAGTTGACTATTAGCCCTGTACGAGTAACTGCACAGTGGCCCTTAACGTAACGAGTAGTAGCAGCTTGAGTTAGATGATGATACCGTATACCCCAATAAATGTCATTTCTGCTAATCATTGTACACATCTGTACATCATTATTTTATAGGCGCGGTAGTGACAGTGTTGTGGTGGATCCCGTGCGCCACAGAAATCTACCTAATCGACTAGTTTGGGGACCACGGTATCGCGTCCGGGTATATATAATATGAATACAGTGGTGGCTATATGCCCGGCACGCCGGCATATATCTGACGGCTGCGGGGCACGGTCTTTCGATTTCCTAACATGCGGCCCGGCATGTTTTTAATTTTCAGCGTTATCTCAAGTAAACAAGGTTTAGGGTTAGAACTGCCAGCGAGATTTAGGAAATCGAAGACCCGCGTCCCCGGCTGCGGGGCGACATATACGACAGCGTATAGTCTACATGTTGCTAAAAACTAATCCATTTATCCTGGGTGCTAAAATCAGGGAAAAAGAATGACCACGTGGGCCACAAACAAGGAACGATGGCTGAGAGATTAGATCTCTTTGTTTATGGCGTGGAAGGTGTATACCTATATCAGGTGGCTGTGGCGTAAAAAATACGGATGGTGAGTTAACACATTATGAGACCTGAACTATTTTTATCTCTACAAGGAAAGCCGCCTTCAATTGCTGCCAAGAAATTCGTGTGTAATATATGTTAATATGGAAGTGGCGATTTACAGTTTACCTATATATATGTTACCAGTGACACTGTGTGCATCGTTTGCTTGTGTGCGTGAATAAAAAATAAAGGGATCAGTGCGCCTAGGCGTTAAATTACGGAAAATTCGGATTTTGGAATTAACAGGTTTACTATTAACTGATTATAATATACGTACCTGTTTTCAGATAGCGAAGTGCGTTGATACATCCATTCTGTAGGGCATTCATATACCACAGGCAGTCGCCGACGATTGTGGTCGAATTCCTGGTGAGTGGCACTGTGTCTCTGGGTGTCGCTACGCGTGTCACTCGCGGCAAGGAATTTCTTAGACTCGGCGAATCTGGTTACCATCTCAAACGTATTGCCGGAACCCGCGACTATGCGCAGGGTCGGAAAGCAGGTCAGGAATCGGGGGGGGGGCATTCTGCCCTCGCAAAGAAGGACATCAAGGGAAATGGGCCAGTGGCTCCAGCTGGTCCCAGCTGGGGGAGGCAGGTATATACCTCCTGTCGGCATCACTTTTACTTCTCGGGTCTATATCGCTGTAGGTGTCTAGGAGTCTCGAACCCCATGTCATGCTGCTTGCTGCTTCGTTCGGGTCATCGGCCTTAATTCGATTTGTTTGCGCCAACGTCGACACATGCTGTCAGAACTGTAGTTTCAAGAGCGCTGTGGTGAACTAAAGCCATTGTTCCGCGTGTACTCACATAAAGCCAGTAGTACTTTCGGGATTGGAAGCCCTGTCTGACCAACAAACCAAGCGGCAAGCCAAACATAGTGTCAGCAAGGCCATTACGATCCATTAAATGGCATCAAAGGATGGGAGAGAAGAACCCTGTCAAACAAACATATCTTTGTTACTCATGTTCATCTTTGCTTCGTGCTGTACATATGAAACTTTACGACATTAAGCAGTCCGTGCATACGGGTAATAGTTTGATGTAGTGTTGGCTCCTACGAGTTGATAGATGATTCACATATAATTTATAAAAGTAGCCAATCGTTTGGACGACTATCGGTGTCATGATGGAGCTTTTAAAACTGTTGCATCTTTGGTATAGGCTTCATTGAGTCATTCTTGCTGGTTAATTAATGTATTCTCCACTTGTCAAGCTATTTTAAATAATCTGTGGTTTTTTGAAGCCTTCACAAGTGTGGTCGCGGCATGTGGCGAGGTGAGCTTGGGCGGTGTGGCTGGGCATTGGCAGGCATCTTGCTGGCGGGTATGGCGGCTGGGCAAGTGGTCCACACGAGTCGGCGCATTGGACTCGGGGCAGTGTGAGTGATCTGCTTCTTGAGACCTGGCTTTCTTTTTGAGGCCTGAAATTGTCAAGAGTAAGAGTGAGTATTATGGTACATTATTAGTCGGTTGGGGCATGATATTGTATTATCACCCGCTTCTGGATATTTTCGAGAAGAGTTGACAGCGCATACAATACCTTGGATTTGATTGTCACATGGCGACAGGTATGAAATCTCCCGCGATCGTGTGTTTCCCCGCCGGTTGTTTTCGCAGCTTGTGCGAAATTTATCAATTTTCTACATCGTCTCAAATCCATTGAGAAAACCTGGGGGGGTCGTACTGCCACCTTCGGGAGCATGTAAAAGTGTCCCGGCGGCTTAGTTGGATCTGCTCTCGTTTTGACCGGCTGGAGGCTTTCTCGGCCACCCCGCGCGCCGGACAAATGTGCTATTCATTCGCGGCAGCCTGCACGCGATGGGCAATACTGCGCGCGAATGGCGGGCTGCGTGCGTTCGCGATGAACAAGCTAGGTTTTCGGAATTTTGTGCGCTCAGAACGGCCATCTGCAATCATTTAAAAAAAATTATGGTGGAAGGACCTCTAGACGCTCCCCGAAGCAGTGCTTAGCAACCTGCGGTGTGCATTATAAGCCCGCTGTTGTGCTGTTCAACATAAGTAATAAATATATCCGCTGGATTTCGTCCTGGGCCATTCTCATCTCGTGCTCATGTTGTTTCAGCGAATGTTGAAGCAGTTACCCAAAACAGGTTTAACGATCATCGCCAATTTTCAGATGCTTTCCATTGTAGCGGATGTGGGCCACAGATCGTGAAGGAGCCGTATCAGAGACACGTACACTGTATTTTGGCGGTGGGCCTCGTAAAAGTAACGCGCTTCATTCTCGCCTTAGCGTGCCTAGCAAGTGACACCTGCCTTATGAATTCATTGATTGAAGAAACTCATGGCCTGGTAATTCTAAGAGTCATACCTGTTGTATGTGGGGGGGGTGGCAGGTAAAAGGCCAGACAACTGTCCACCTGGATTTGGAAGAAAAATAACATAAACAACCTAGATAAATGGCAAATAATCACAAAATAGGTGTAGAATCCGTCGATTGTAACCACGATGTTGAAAACCTTCATCTCACCTGACTTTCCGCCGTATGGACTAGGGAGGTTTTGGCGCCCTTCCCTTCGCCATTGTTTGTTCTGACCTTTAATGATCTTTTTAAGGGGCCTCCCAGGGAATTCAGCTTCGTTAACTATGGCTTTGTGACAGGCAGTGCAGTGTCGCTGGATATGTAAATCCTGTTTAAGATTTCCAGGGTTTACTGCTATACGTATTACTTTAGCCTATTTAACTTATATAGCTTTTTATTGTCGTGATTCATCTTCCGGTAATTAATCTCGATACTAAAGTCTGTTATTTCAAATGTAGCTTGAGTGCAGTGGTTGCCTTTTAAATGAAATACAATTAATAATAGAAACATGCAAATTTTTGCAAATTAAGGCTATTATAATGAAAAATGCGATAAATTAGCCGGTAGAATACATTGAAGTTCGTTGTGCATGTATTCTGAGCTATTAACATGAGACTGAGACTTAGTACACAGATGCACATAAGGCATTTGGCTAATCGACCCGTTTGCACATATATACTGCATCTCTTTGGAATGCATACACGTTACATGCCTTTGTCTAGTGCTGCCAGGACAAAAGACAAGACTCCAAAGCATTAAATAGCATTAATTAATAGTGGACTCAATCTGTATCACTGCAGTTAGCTGATAACCATTTATGACCGTTTATGTTTAGGTTATGTTTAAATGTTTTTTTTTACCATGGGGTAAAAATATTTACAAAATTTTAGGTAACCATTTTGCTATTGAAAAAATACCTGTTCGTGACTATTTGTGAGTGTGTAAATTAATTGAAATATTCATGTAGTACTTGCCTTATGTAAATTTTTATATGATTTGCATACATGTGCTTATATGTAGCTTACATTTTCAGGCAATAGGTGCGACATTTGCTGCAATGATTGGCAGTGGAATGGTTGCGAGATCGATTCCCTACCAGGAGGGCTTCGGTACCAAGCAGCTTGCGTGGGCGGCACATGCCGGCATCATGGGAGCCGTCGTCGCACCTCTGACGTTACTCGGTGGTCCCCTGCTCATCCGAGCTGCGTGGTATACAGCTGGCATCATAGGAGGTGAGCTTTAAAATGAGTGAGGCGTGTATGTAGCCGAGGACTGCACCGTGTCTATGGGATGCATGTCCATTGTTTGACCATCATGGAACTTATCTACTAGCTTATCACCCAATGCCATTAAGCTATAAATTTCACGATGAACAAAATGGAGCTTTTGTTATCCATATCATCCTTAACATGTTTGGAAATTGATCCAGCAACCCACTGCAGATTTTAAAAAATTGCCTACAGTGACTCTGTGAATTGCATCAAGATGCTAAGCGACATCTCCTGGTGAAACGCCATACACACTTGACTGGTCAGAAGCAGGAATTAAGCTATTAGCTGGTGTTATTTTGCGATTGTACTTGCTAAGATAGTTAACAAGATGATCCTGAAAAGAATACAACCTAAGATGGATAGTCATCTCAGGCCAAACCAAAATGGATTTAGACCTGGACGTTCGACAACAACACACATTCTTGCTCTTAGGAGACTAATAGAAGGAGTTAAAAGTCACAATAGTAAGGCTATTATCATCTATGTAGACTTCAATAAGGCCTTTGACTCCATACATAGAGGGATGATGATGAAAACACTCGAAGCATATGATATACCACCAAGATTGCTGAGGGCAATCAGCGAGCTTTACGAAAACACCAAATCAAGAGTGATTACACCTGATGGCGAAACAGAGTATTTTGAAATCAAAGCAGGAGTATTGCAAGGAGATACCCTAGCACCATACCTCTTTGCTATTGTCCTTAACTATGTAATGCGTAAAACCTATGATGGTAGCGAAGACGAGCTTGGATTTCGACTACATAGACAAAGAAGTAGGCGGCATCCAGAAATTACTGTCACTGACCTTGACTTCGCGGATGACCTTGCACTACTAACAGAAGAGATGGAACAAGCACAGGAAGTATTGAGCAGATTAGAACAAGAAGCGGAGAGGGTTGGACTGCACTGTAATGCAAAGAAAACTGAGCTACAAGTATTTAATCATGAAACTCCGGTGATAGTGAAAGTACGGGAAGGTAAAACCTTGAAGATAGTAGAAAACTTCAAGTACCTAGGTGCGTGGTCACAAAGCACTGAAAAAGACTGCGAGGAAAGCTCTTGCATGGAGTGCATGTCATAAATTGAGAAAGGTATAGGAGCTCGAAGCTGGCAAGAAAATTGAAGGTTAGATTGTTTTTAGCTACAGTGGAATCAGTTTTGCTCTATGGGGCAGAAACATGGACACTAACCAAAACTCTGTAGAAACAGTTAGATGGATGTTATACCCGTATGCTCAGGATCGCACTCAATGTATCTTGGAAATGTCATATGACGAATGCTGATCTCTACGAAGAACTACCAAAAGTAACATCAAAGATACAGCGGGGAAGGATGCATCTAGCCGGACACTGCATCAGACACAGAGATGAAATTGTGAATAAGCTGGTCCTCTGGCAACCAACTGAAGGCAAAACCAATAGAGGCAGGAGAAGAATCACCTATGTGGATAACTTGATGGAAGACACTGGAATGCAAGTGGTACAGGAGTTGAGGACCATTATGGAAGATCAAGACGAATGGAGAAAGCGTGTTGAAGCTATGGAGCGTCCTGAAGGACAACCTAGTTGAATTGAGTTGTACTTGAATTCTTTCTGTCTAGAAGGTACCATTTGATGTATACAGTGGGTGCCATTAGCAGCCGGCGTGCAGCGAATTTAGCCGTATATAATATCTCTTGTACGCCATGTATCTGTCCTGCAGCCTGTTAAAATTTGGCCCTCTGTACCTCATCTATCATCTGGATGTGTGTACGTATATATATCAGGGGTGCCACGATACACTAGGTGGCGAATATGATACGTGTCATGATACAGAGTGACTGATACGAATATTAATCATAAACATTTACAAAAGTTGTCCTCGTATGTGGAAGGTCGGGGGGTTCAACTCCCGGCCGGGTCATACCAAAGACTTGAAAAATGGTACACACGGCTTCTCTGCTTAGCATTCAGCAAATAGAGATAGAGTGTGGCAAGTTAACTCGCAGTGCTACCAGTGGAACTACTGTAGCATTTACTGTAAAAGCAGCTGCGGGGCCTCAGGGTTACTGAAACGGAGGTAGGCACCGCCCTATGCGCCATGTAGCTATGCGCTATGCGTATGAAGGCGCGGGAAGGATTTAATAATTAAAAAATTAATTTACAAAAGTAAACATTTCATGTGAACTGTTTCATTTATACGATTACATTTTTCTTTAAAAAACACGAGCTTATCGACATTCCTGGGCACTTTGGATACGCATGAATTTAAGTTCATAGGAGGGACGTAGATTGCCTTAACTAGTAATCCATCTTTTATATTTTGTATTTGCAAATATTCGGCTTTTGGGGTGGCGAATAACGAATTTAATTTGAATATTGGCCAAATTCGATTCGCTTCATGTCTGAGTGTATCGTCACACCCCTAATATATATATATATATGTAGATATATGTGTAATATAATTTGTTATTTACTTTGTGTTTGTGACCAGGCCTATCTACAGTGGCTGTGTGTGCACCCAGTGAGAAATTCTTGAACATGGCTGGACCACTTTCCATTGGGCTCGGTGCGGTCGTAATGGCTTCATTAGGTAAGGGAGTAATGCCATAGCATCAGCTAATAACTGGCTCTAAATGAGTGGGGCGGGGGTGTTGTTGATTGTATGTGAGTCATGTATTCTACAGATTATTATTATTGGGGGATTGAAAATGGAAAGGAAAGGTTAATTTAAGTCTACTAATCAGTAGTGTCATAAATAAATATCATTATTATATTAATTTAATGTGTCTTTATAAAATCGGATAATTATTGTTTGGTAATTAACACAGTTTAACAATTGCGACTGTGCTGTTGCTTATGGCTGTGATGCTCACACACACACTAACAGCAGCAACAAAAATTTTGTAATTTATCATATAGTAATGAGAAGGATGTGTTACACGAACTAATGTGGGAGGTTATTAATGTGTTTTGCATCAATACGCAAAATCAGCGCATACCACGCCACAAATTAGCTTCAGCTTTGAAGGCGTGTCAGACCAAACATGTCTTAAAGGCCTGTGGAGCCTGGTTCAGTTAGTATGTACATGTGTCGTGTTAACGCGCTGTGTTTGCTCGTTGCAGGCAGCATGTTCCTGCCGCCGACGACCGCGCTAGGCGCGGGCCTCTACTCGCTCAGCGTATACGGTGGTCTCGTGCTCTTCAGCGGATTCCTGCTCTACGACACGCAGAAGATCGTGCGCGTCGCCGAGACACACCCGATGTACGCGGTCGCGCGCCGCTACGACCCCGTCAACATGTAAGTAGAGACCGTAGGTGGCGCCGCACGCTCGCTCAGCGCTGTCGACGTAGGTGGTGCCACCTGGTTGCTCGCCACCATTCACTGTTGGTGCCAACCCCTGCTCACCACTGTAGAATGTGCTAAACTAATCCATTATCCTGGGTGCTAAACTAGGATAAAAGAATGACCACGTGGCCACAACAAGGAACGATGGCTGAATTAAATCTCTTTGTTTATAGGCGTGAAGGTGTATTTATATCAGGTGGCCTTGCGTAAAAATACGGAGTTAACACATTATGACCCAACTATTTTACTCTACAAGGAAAGCCCTTCAATTTTTGCAAGAAATGCGGTGTACATATGTGTAATATATGGAAGTGGCATTTACATTTACCTATATATATGTGTGCATGTGACATGTGTGCACTCGTTTGTTTGTGTGCATGAATAAAAATAAAGGAGTTCGCTAGGTTAAATTACTGGAAATTAGATTTTGGAATTAACAGTTACTATATAACTGATTATAATATACGTACCTGTTTTCAGATAGCAAAAGTGGTTGATACATCCATCTGTACGGGCTTCAGTATACACAGGCATGTTTGCGACAAGATTGTGTCGAATTCCTGTGAGTGCGCTGGTGGTGTCGCTACCGCGTATCACTCGGCAAGGAACTTCTAGACTCGGCCAATCTGGTACCATCTCAAACGTATTGCGAACGCGGAACTATGCACAGGAAGCGAGGTCAGGAATCGGGCATTCTGCTCGAAGAAGGACACTCAAAGAAATGGCCATGGCTCCAGCTGGTCCAGGAGGTAATATATACCTTGTCGCATACCTTTGTCTTCTCGGTTATATACGGTAGGTCTATTATAGTTCGAACCCCGATGGTCACTGCTGCTGTGCTTTTCAGCATGGCACTTAATTCAGATTTGTTTAAGTCGACACATGCTGTAGGAATTAGTTAAGAGCGCTGTCGTAAAGCCATTGTCCCTTACTCACATAAAAGCCAGCTAGTAGCTTTGCCGGATGAAGCCCTGTTACAAAAACCAAAGCAACATAGTTGCAGAGGCCATACGATCCATAAATGGCATCAAAAGGATGGGAGAAGAAACCTGAACAACATCATATCTTTTTATATGTCATTTTCTTCGTTGTAATACAAATTTACACATACACATCTGGATACGTTTGATGTAGGTTGTGCTCTACGATGATAATGATTCACACATAATTTATAAAAGTACCCATCATTGGACGGTACTATGGTGTCATGATGAGCTTTTAAAACTGTCATCTGGTATAGGCTTATGCAAGGCTCGACACTAACTTTTTTTTTCAGTGGCCCGATCGGGCCACCAAAATCATTGATTTTCAATTTTTGGTGGCCCGAAAATGAAATCTGGTGGCCCGAAAAAAAAACAAAGAAAAACATTATAAATCTTTATTTCAATCTCGTATTGTATATTATTTGAAAATTGGAAATTGGGCCGTCTGATGCACTTGCACAAGTCTTTAAACAACCCCCACACGATG